TGATCGTTTGGGGGTATGTAGGTATATATAGGAGGAAGGAGTACGTCGGTGGAGCAACAGGGGTCCCACAAGAGTGGAGGGCGCGCTTGGGGGGTAGGCGCGCCCCCCTACCTCGTGGCCTCCGCTTTTCTTTCTTGACGTTGGGTCCAAGTCTCCCTGGTCTTGTTCGTTGAGAAAATCACGTTCCCAAATGTTTCATTCCGTTTGGACTCCGTTTGATATTCCTTTTCGTCGAAACCCTAAAACATGCAAAAAAACAACAATTCTGGGCTGGGCCTCCGGTTAATAGGTTAGTCCCAAAAATAATATAAAAGTGGATAATAAAGCCCAATAATGTCCAAAACAGTAGATAATATAGCATGGAGCAATCAAAAATTATAGATACATTGGAGACGTATCAGTTATCAAAAACCTCATATAATTTCAACAAAGAAATGTCATACCTGTGATATTTGTTCATACCGCCGGCTTATCATGCGACGTGCAGTAAAGGTAACAGCCCAAAGTTTTTAGAGCACAACGCCCTGTTCAATTTATTCATACCGTCGGCTTATCACGCCATATGCAGCAAGGGTAACACCCCGAAGCTTAGAGCACAGAACTCCAAGCAAATAATCATCATACACTGGCGACCTAAAGTCCAAAACCAGGCCGGGTTAACATAACTCTGGATAGATTTATATATGAACCACTAAGGCAACATGGCCCTAATCAGTTTTCAACCATACAGCAATATGGCAACAAAAGATGAATCTCAAAAAATATTTAAAGCAAAATAAATTAGAAAAAACAAGGCATTCATTGGCTGCCAAGCCTCAATATCAAGTGTTATTCAAGGGCCGCATAGCCGCTGAGTTAAACCTTAATTCAAACCCGTAAGCCGTAGCTCACATGACCAATCGCCATTGTAACTTTGACAAATTCGGGTTTTTTATAAGATTGATTGTCAAGAGTACAGCGAGTCATTCCAGGATTACCTGGTCGGAGTGGCAGGCAAACTAAGGCATGATAACCCGGATTTTTGGTGAATATACCTGGTGTCGTGGAATTGTCACGACATATGTCCTAGTGGAAGGACTTAGTTGTGGAGCCATTGCGACGTAGTTAGCTTAAAGGGGTTAAAATGGGACAAAGGACATGAAGAGTTTATACTGGTTCGGCCCCTTACGGTGAAGGTAAAAGCCTAATCCAGTTTGAGGTGGTATTGCTAGGGTTTCGATTACCAAGGAGCGAATACGCTTAGCCTGGCTTTCGATCTGTTGTCTCTTACCCTAAGCCGCTGCCGGGTCGTCCCCTTATATACACGGGTTGACGCCCCGCGGCTCACAGAGTCTCGGCCGGCTCATATAAATGTGTCCAGCCCGGTGACTTATCTTACATGCCTTACAATACAAGTCACATATACATGGCGGTTTACACTTATGGGCCTTAAGCCGCCTTTGGGCTTTGGGCCCTTTAACAAGCCTACTACATGAACCACCATCTTCAACATATTCATGGGCTTGGTTTATGAACCACCATTGGAATAACCCGGCCCCTCCTGGGCGGGTCATATCCAATAGTCATATCCCCAACACTAGGCCCCAGGTTGATTTGAACTTTGTTCATCTCAATCTTCAACACTTAGAAAAAATCCTTCTTCTTCTTCTTGTGAGATATTGTAACCCTCCATGATGTCATCTCCAGAGATTGTGGTACCCCGCCGTGACGTCACCTATTATTAATATTATATACGGCCCAAATCTTAATAAATCTTCTCTTTTAATGAACCTCCAAAAATCGTGGCGCTCACGCCGTCACATATCCATTTTCTTGTCTCCTAAATTCCCGCGCATGCCACTTATCCTTCTAGCCTTATAAATAGGGCATGGGTCCTCTTTTCACTCTCCCCCTTTTGCCTTCTTGTCTTCATCTTGTTCCTCGCAACGCTCCAGCGCGCCCAAGCTCCACCACCGTCGATCTTCGTCCACTGCTTGAACTTCGGCCGCTGCATCACCCTGAATGAACCAGAACATCACGGTGCCCCTCCACTGCTCATCAGCGTCGGTAAGCATTCACTTTTCCTCTTAATAGATCTGCCTTAGGGTTTCCCTGTTCATCGGTGTTCATCACCGTTCCTCCTTCTCTTTCCTAGATTTCATAGTTTTGATCTGAAAACGACACAAATCTTGTGCGGTAGCAGTTTTAGCACTTGTTTTTTAATACCAGAATATATCCTCATTGCAATAGATCTCATCTGGGCATCCCCACTTTTCTGCTGCCGCCACCTTAGGTTTAGATTTTATTTCATTTATCTGAACTGCGGCAGATCCAATCTTATAGCTACAATCTGTGAAACTTGTCTGTCCCAACACTTAGTAAAATTCGATCTTGTCAGATCTTGAATACCAGTGCTTGTCATGGCGGCTTACATCACCGGCTTATAATTACCCATATATCATCAGGCCCTATTTAAGCCGCCATTCGGAATATATACTGTAGTTTTTTACTTCCCGCTTAATGAATCAACTTAATGTGGCAAAAAAATTCTTTCCTTTAGGCTTCTCTCTTCACAATGCCGCCAAAGACAGTCACTTCATGTAACTGGGTTCCCTCCATTGTCACTGAAAACACACTCAAAGACTTTGTCAAAATCGGGTACTTGGCAGCAAAGAATGTCATGCATTATCGCGCCCCTGATCCAGGCAAAGAAAGACCTCAGCCAAAGGATGATGAAGTCATTGTTTTTACTGATCACATGAATCGGGGGTTCTCACCGCCCGGTTCTAGATTTTTCCGAGACGTTCTGCACTTCTTTCAACTCCATCCTCAAGACATTGGACCCAATTCTGTGTCAAACATCTGCAACTTTCAAGTCTTTTGCGAAGTATACCTTCAAGAGGAGCCCAGCGTTCAACTCTTTAGAGAATATTTTTATTTGAACCACCAAAATGAGTTTACGAACGAACCCAGCCTGGAACTTGGTGGAATCTCAATTCAACGGAGAAGAGATGATATCTTCCCCTATGCCCGCTTGCCGAGTCACCCCAAAGATTGGAATCAGACATGGTTTTACTGCAAAGATACTTCTCCGGTTGACGAGAATCCATTGTCGGGTTATCGTGTCCAGCGTCTTGACTCAAAGCATCTTCTTCCTGAAAAGCTTACTACTGCTGAACGTGCAAAGCTTGCTCCCACCATTGCAAAGGTCAAGGCTCTGCTAGGAAACAGGTTAACTGGCATTGACTTGGTTTGGTGCTGGGTTTCTTGGTGAATCATACCCTTGAGCCGTCGGCCCGGTTTAATGTGTACTTACACGGGTCATATAAAGGATCCACTGTGCCACAACTCCATGCGTTTAACTGACAAAGCCATCAATGAAATGACAAAGTCCCTTCTAAATGAAGATCCGGAAGACTGCAGTAAAGTAGGTCTGAACCCTTTTTGCAAACTTAACCCGCCACCTGATGTGAGTCTCCAATTTACTTACTTTTACCCCATCATTTAAATGCTTTATTAACTCAACTTTGATGACTTTTCACAGGCTAACTCTGATTTTTGGAAGAAGAAATACGACCATAAAGCTGCCAAGAAGGCCAGGGCTGCCAAGAAAGCCGCCAAGTAAAACACTAAGAAAAATAAGAAGAAATCAAGCACCTCCAGCATGTTTGAACTGGATGACAGCTCTGAGTCGGAGGTACCCCTTGACTCCCTTGGCTCCTTTTTCAATTACCTTATTGACACTGATTATGCTCAAGATGACACGGGGGCCAGCCAAGTAGCTGAAGAAGAGGTAACTATTATTTCGTCCGACTCAGAGCCTTTGCCAAGACAGAAAATTTGATGGGTAACCCAGAAAGTAAGCTTTTCGCACCCTTAGCTCATTTGGATCCTCACTTTCTTTTGAAGCAACAGCAGCACAAGAACCGGCGACAAATTCGGATCAGCGGAGGTGAAGAGTTATCGTCCAGCTTATCAAATACTCCAGCTCCATGAAAACGGTAAAACGAGATCTTTTCAAACTTAACTCTTTTTACCCCCTAGTGGGTCTCATTCGTCAGCCACTTACTCCTTCCGATTCAAACTATCGGGAGGTTTATCGCTCTTCCTCTGGCGATTCATCTCAAAACCAGCTACCGAATTTCAAGACTACCCCTGGGTAACATATCTTTTGTTTTCCATCTCCTTCTGCTCTTATACTTGTACTGATCTCTCATGGACCGTGAAGTGGAAAAACAAAGCCTAACAAGAAGGAAAAGGTGACCAAGCCGGCTGAAGATCCTAAAGTCCCTGAACCGGAGCAGCAAGTCCCAACATCAAACATTTCTGAAAAACAATCAGAAGAACCTGCCCATGAAGCCCCACCAGAGATTCCTGACCCTTCCGGTGACCATTCAGTACTCAAACCTTTGAATACTGAACCATCAAGCCCACTTAAACCGTCAAAAACACATACCGACAATGTTATGATCACTGGCACCGGTTTTACAGAACCGGGAAATCCAATTGTCTTGGCCAAACACTCCGCTAAACAAGAGTTCATTGAAAAATGGAAAGTGAGATTTGACGTTGCCCACTATTCTCAATTGAGCAGTAGTGAAGTACTCTCTGGCTACCTCAACCAAGTACACACTAGTCACGATCTTGAAATTGACTAGAAGAACGCTCGTGTGTTGCAATGGGGCCACATTAACTTTAAGTGTTCAATATTAATATTCTCATACATATCAAGTGACATTGGCAACTTTTTTACCATCAAATCCTCTCACACACACACTCTCTCTCTCCCTCTTCCTCACTCTCTCTCCCTCTCTCTCTCTAACACACACACACATATCCATCTTATTGGGTATGAGACCATAATCCATCTATTTCACACACACGCTAGTGCATAACAATATGGATTATGTGTACTGTATTTGCCACCACATCTGAGGGAATTAATTTCATGTAAATCAGCCAGCCACAGATCCAAGAATACACGGAGGAGGTGGCCCGGGTCGGCGTCGGCGCCATCCGGCATGGGCCACGGGCCCGCTTCCAAGTGCGTCTGCGCGCCGGCCACCCACGTCGGGTCCTTCAAGTGCCGCTTCCACCGCACCAACTCCCAGGGCCACAGCCACGACCAGGGCCAGGGAAGCCGCATTTCTTCGCCCACTTCACCAGCCGCGGCCAACGCGGTGCCGCGGCACCCGGCCTCGCCGTCCTCGTCCACTGGCACCGTCGCGATCCAATGACGTGGCCCAAGCATCAGCCTCGAGAATCAAGAATGCTCGACAACGGAGAGGAAAGGGAAGATCATATACATGTCATAAGAAAGGGAGTTTATTTATTGCTCCCTCGATGTATTGTTTCCTTTGTTTGGAGATTGATTACCATCTGTGAGTTAAGGTAAGGTTAATGTGATTGAGCGATTTTTTTAAAATCAATTATTTGTTTTCTAATTAATGTGATTGAGTGATTTAAGGTAAGGTGAATTAATTTAGATTTGATCTTTAGATATTATTCGTAATTGATTCTACATTACTAAATAATTTGCGCCAGTATGGAAAGTTCTGATTTGTTCAGATTTCTTTCATTGTGTGAGAGGGTGACGCGAAAATAAACCGATGAAGTGGGGGAGGGGACGAAAAAATCTACGAAAAAAACTAGCGAAGGTGGGAGGAGGTACCAAAAAACCATGGAAGGTGGGACGAAAAAAACCTGGAAGCGAGACTACCAACTGCTCCATTAGGAGTAGATATGGTGAAGCAGATGCATAAAAAATATGAGGTGCGAATTCCAGCTTAAGTATAGTATGCATATCTTGTCAGCCCCCAAGTCTACTGTGTATAATAGAATTGAATATGTTGTAGACTTTAGAATAGCAATGAGTATAAAGCATCTTTGAGAAAAAAGTCATCTTTCAGTTAAGCCAGGTTTTAATGATCAACATTGCATCCGTAGCCCCCAAGTGTCGGTTTAATCATCATGAATGAACCGGTGCTCATTATTGTTTAAAGATCATAACTTACTCATGTAGCCTCTATGAACTGGCTTTTTTGTTTGCGGTACTGCCGGGTCATCATAAAGTAGTAATGAAATGTGAGCAAATATGCATTAGACCCCAAGTGCCAAGTACTGTTGCTTGCAAAGTGCTTGGGACTTAGTCATATAAGATGTTGTAGGAAGAACTCTTCAGTAGGCATTAGCCCCCAAGTGCCAAGTGTTGTTGCTTGCAAAATACTTGGGACTTATATTCCTGTAACCCGGATATAAATGTGTTTGTAACTCTGTATTTTTACAGGATGCCACTACTGAACTTCAATCACAATTGGCTGATGCAAAGACCCGACTGGAGAATCAAGAGTCTGAGACCCGGAAAGCGGATTCAAAATTCCAATTTAGCGTGGCTGAAACGAAAAAACTTAAAACCAATTTCGAGGCTGAAAGAAATGCCTGGGCTGAGGAAAACACTGTTTTGACGCAGCGGGCTGAGAAAGCTGAAGCGGCTCTTCAAGAGGTGACCACTGAGCTTACCGGTTTAAAGCACCATGTATCCTAGATGGTTTCTGCTATCTTTGGTGAGTCGACTTACCAGCATTCAACTTGAATCTCTTCATTTGGTATTATAAACCGCCACTGACTATTCCACAATTGTTATATAGGTCCAAGGAGCAGCAATCTTAGTCAAGATACGCTGGTGAAGCTGAAAGCCGTATATACGCTTGTTGAACAGCTGTATACTGGAGCTCAACGCATGCTAGCCACAATTTCAACAACAAATCAAGGACCCATTCTGTTGAGCGATGTCTTGAAAAAATTGTCAATTATGCCTGCAAGGATTCAAGAGATCAAACGGTCATATGCAAGAGTCAGTGTCGTAATGGCCTTGAGTCATGCTAAGGCATGGGTACCAGAGCTAGACCCGGATGAGGTAGCTACTGGGTATCCAAGTTTGAAGGAAGATGGTACTACTTTTGATTAGAAGGACTTCGCTGCCTACGTGAAGGAAATACGTCCTGTGGTGACTCTGATTGCTGATGAGACAAATCTATCCAAGTATCAACCGGCTTATGATGCAGAGAATCAAAAGAAACCCACGCCGTCTTATAAAGTGATGGATCTGATTCCTCCAATTCGTAAGCATACTTTCGCCCCTGAAGTTGACCTGTCAAATCTTATTGATGATGAAGCTGAATTCCATGCCTTACGTGGCATTGATTGGTCATCACCAAACTTCCAGACAGCAGAGGAGGACAAAGAACCGGAAAAGGTTGATCCAGAAGCTTCAAGTTGCTAAGATCAAGAAGATTGATCCGCTGGGCGGTTCAAATACTTGAACTTTGAAAAAAAACTTGATCTTTTTGGCTCATTGAGTCATGTAATAGGCTAGTAAAACTTTGATCTGTCGTGCCATCATGCATGTTTTTGCTTTGCACCACACCGTTTGATCCGCCATTTGAAGAGCGTATCACTTTATGCTTATGATAACGTCAATTTGTGCAGATGAGATTTATTCATGACCCTGCACTTGTAATTCACAATTGCCCTGGCGGTTTACCGCGGGCGAGTCATAATACGCAAATTAAACCGCTGGGGACTAATAGTCCATAACCAGGGCCGGGATGATCACAACTTTTATATAATATAATATCATACTGGTGGTATTTATGTAAACTGCTAGCTTATCAGCTCCATGCAGTTAGAGCTTTTAGAGCCATAACTCTCAGCATAAGATTATTATTCTCTGGCGACTTAGAGTCTACCATCCTGGCAGGTTGCAAAGACCCGAAGATGCCTCCAATATGAGACATAAATAGGGCAGCTTGGCCCGATTTGTAAAAAACCATATGGCAAGAGAAAAGAGATTATATGAAACACAAAAAATAAGAAAATCAAAAAATCTGAGGCTTTTGCAGGCCGCCGAGCCAAAGTTTCTTCTTCAATGAAACTAGCCTAATGGTCACTGGAAGGTCCATGCTTTTTGTGAGCCGGCTCTCACATGACCCAATCGACATTTGAACCCAGATAAGTGCAGGTCTTATTAAAATATAGACTTATCAGGAGTACGCGGGGGCGGAGTAGCATCGTGCATCACATGCCGATTTATCCAAGTCTCAAAGAAGGCGGCTTATGAGCCAAGATCTATCTTGACTATTGTCAGGACCCCGACTCCATGCCACATCGATCTAGCATGTAACACCTCATATCACTTTGCGGCCTCACGCACGGTATTCCCACGGTGTCGCCTTACCTTTGCCCGGGACCGTTTGCGCCTTTTGGCACACGTATATGACAGTGTCGCTAGCATCCATATGATAAGGAGCCCGGGCTGACATGGCTAGTCATAAACCCAAAGTGGCACAAACTTACAGGGACAGGCATCCATGACCCAGCATCGAACGTGTCGGTCATCAGCGAGTGAATCCAGGCTGTAGCACTGGGCTAGCAGGACTCCGGTGAACCGGGCTGTAGCGGGCTAACAGGACTCTGGTATTCATCGCGTGACATTTCCCCGAAGGGACAGACACAGGAACGAAGAAGGACACATGCCGGCCAGCCTAAGTGTTCCGGAGCAGTAGCAAGCTACCATGGCTCAGTGAAACACTAGGAGACATTTCCCGGTAAGAGAGGCTACTAAAGATAAACAACTAGATGGTCAGATCCCACACATACCAAGCATTTCAATAACATACACACAATATGCTCGATATGTGCAAATACAACATGGCATCACAACATGACTCTACGACTCAAGTAATTTATTCAATAGGCTCCGAGGAGCGCGATATTACAAACATGGGTCTCATGACCCAACAATCAGAGCATACAAATCAAAGCACACGCGGAAGCTATCATGTCTGAGTACAGACATCTATAAATGAAAAAGGCTGAGAAGCCTGACTATCTATCAGATCCTGCCAAGGGCACAAGATCGTAGCTGAGGTATCAAGCTAAACGTCGAAGTCCAAGCGGAACTACTAGTGAGACTGAAGTCTCTCTGCAAAAACATAAAATAGGCAAACGTGAGTACAAATGTACCCAGCAAGACTTACATCAGACCTATCTACATATGCATCATTATCAACAAAGGGGTGGTGGGGTTTAACTGCAGCAAGCCAGCTTTGACTCGGTGGCTATCCTGAACTACGACTGCGAGTAACTTTTTGAGGTGGCGCACACGAGTCCACATATTCACCATATCAATACACCACTATGGATCCGCTCACGTCTCCCTACGAGAACGCCATCCATAGCACTCACGCTTATCTTGCGTATTTTAGAGTATCCACTTTCACTTGTCTATGAACTGATATAAGCAACCCAGAGGTCCTTTTCCGTGGACACGGCTATTCGAATAGATTAGGTTAACCCTGCAGGGGTGTACTTCTTCACACACGCTCTCACCACTTACCGCCGTTTACACGACATGTACTCGGCAACCTTCAAGCGGAAGCCCAACGTGGGTGTCGGCCACGGCCTGCCTAAACACTCAAGTCTCTAGTCCAGGTTTATCGCCTATTCGGGTTCCATCCATGAGGAGATCCGGCCGGAGTTTCGCTCACAGCCCCAAACGATGTGTACAGGGTTCCGTGACACCAAACGGGTGCCCGGTTTACCCGGCCACGTGCCTACCGCATCACAGCCCACCCCTATGGTCAGCGCTGTGCACGGCCTCCAGCATACTACAAACACCAGAAACTACTTGCAACTCCTGGACAGAGGACAAGGGTGATCAAGAAGCCGAGAGGGTCCATTGGTTTCGGGCCCAATGCGTGGTAGTAGCTGAATCATGGATCACAAACACAGAACTCAGTTCCTGAGGACGGCTGCAATGAGACAACCCACCATGTACTCCTACATGGCCTCTCACCGCTACCTTTACCAAATCGTGTTCACACACTTAGCTCTCACACAGTAGGACATGTTCACACGCCTCTGATTCATCCCCGATGAATCAGACCTGACTCAACTCTAAGCAGTAGCAGGCATGACAAACAAACATGAATGAGTAGGCACAACAGGGCTCAGACAACACCTACTCATGCTAGTGGGTTTCATCTAATTACTGTGGAATGACAGGTCATGCAGAGGATAAAGGGGTTCAGCTACCGCAGCAAGTAACAGATGAATCGATGTTGTCCTAATGCAGTAAAAGAGAGCAGGAGCGAGAGAGTAGGATTGTATCGGAATGAACAAGGGGGTTTTTCTTGCCTGGCACTTCTGAAGATAACATTGGGTCTTCATCAGTGTC